GCAGGCTACGCAGTACGCAGGCTAATGTCCCACAGTGGCTGCCTCTCTGGTGGACTCCGGTACTGCACATTACTCCCGAGACGTTTTCAATTTTTTTTTTTAAGTGAAACATCCGGGGCTTTTCAGAAAATATCCGGGGCTTGAGCCCAAGTAGCCACCCCCTAGCGCCGCCACTGATGCTAACACTGCTAAAGCTAACGGTGATAACCTGTTGGGTAACTGGATGGGGAGGGAGCGCTATGCCATACACGGACTAGTTGTCGGAGCATCTATGTAAAAAAAATGACGTTTGGATTACATAGAGAGATCGGACATCTGACACCATTCCATCCATAGCAAATGTGTTGTTTCCTGGTGTATTTCTGCTTTAAATGGTGAATAATAAGGATGAAAATACAAATAAATAGGTGTACTGATTTGATCTTCGTTCTCTCATACGACCTCAAAACTAAAAATCACTCTCTAGTCATCCTCCAGCATATCTCATGACGATTGTTTTTGTTTTGCCCTTGGACGACTGAAATCTATCCACAACCTTTTTCCTGTCTAACCGAGGGTTTGAGTTGCGGGTCTAAACGCTGCACATACCAAGAATATGAAACTACACACAGGTGGACGAGGATTTAGAGAGCCTGAATAACTTTAGAGGCCTCCTAATAGATCATACAAATCCCTTTTTCTCTTATCTTCGGACAGTAATTGAATGCTCATTCGGAGAGTTGTTGCCCCGAGGTGTAGATATGAATATTTCTCTCGAGGGTCTCTGGTGAACTTTACAACAAAGGAGTCGAGTCTTTCAATACAAGGACCCCGCTGTTGCTACATAACTCGTTACCCTGATGGAACTGTAATGTAAGCTGAGTGCTACCTTTATAAAGCATCATTTATATCTTGACACCTTCTGGTCAGTGTTTGTCGGTGTTTTGTGTGTGTGAAGGTACAGTGAGAAGAGAGATCATGTTAACGTGGGAGGGGTTTGTTGATGGAAAAGTGGGCGAACTGGTCTGACATCCATATGATGGTCTGTTGTTGTTTTGGGGCTTCCTTGTAAAACATTTTTTATTTTGTGGTGAATCCTACAAATTGAAAACAAGTTCCCCTTTCTCTAATCCGATCTAAAAAGCAGTTCAAAGATGAACTGTTTAGCCTTGAAGCAAGAATTTGAAGCATATCTATTTTAATATCACTCCAAACTGAATATCTTTGGTACTAAACATCACTTTATAGACATTATTTTGGGCTCTGGACCCACACAATTGAGTTTACCTGAACACATCCTTTGAGGGAAGACAAGATTGAGAAGCCGCTTGTCTACATAGCCGCCTTGCGTTTTCCCAAAACATAAAAGCATGATGGGTCTCAGGATGACATGAGCTGTACCCTTTTACTGACATAAGAGCAGATGTTATCAGTGGAAGTTGCTCAGAAAGATATGCGGAGGTATCACAATATCTCAACATTCCATTTAAGGCGATACATAATGATATGGAAATATTGGCGAGCCCCAACGGATGGTATAAAGTTGCATCCCTTGTTTCGTACTTTGAAAAGCAAAAGGTACAGTAATCCAGTCTTTCTTATTGTCATATAAAATCATCCTGGTGCTAATTTAAACCTGATCTAAAATCCATTCCATTTAATTCAGCTGAAACTGGCTATTATCCCATATCACAAATAAAGAAGAAGCACTTATTGGCAGGATTTCCTTGTAGCTGCCGGTGTTACCGCTGAGAGAAAACTGCAGCATTCGATAAGCTAGTCAATGTAGCCTCTTATCAGCTCTGAGGCTTTTCAAATCAGCCTGAAATGTCAATACACCGTTCTAAAGTCTGAGCAATGACAAGAAAAAGTGGCGCTGTCTCACCCGCTGCTTTATCCAGCTTTTAATAACCTGCATATACAGTAAATGAGATAACCTCCCACACCTGATAATGCTTCGCATAAAAGAGTGATGTCAGAGTGATGTTATTGTGTAACGTCACAATGAAACACTTATAAATATCTGTCAAATAATAATTCATTTTCAATTGATTTGGATGCGACGTGCTCACCTTTAACTGTCTTATATGAATACGCCTGGTGTGATCAGGCAAGTGTATCCATGGTGAGTTGTCATGCCGACCAATTTATATTAATTTAACACTCGTAATGGATCAATTATCAATTTAGATATGGATTTTCCGCCTACACAAGCAACTTACTCTACTCAAAGTAGTCCATGTACATTTTGGGAGGTCAAGCTCCAAACTTCTTTTTATTTGGCCTTGAGCTGCAGTCCGATGAAAAAAAGCCCTGTCTCCTCTCCATTACCCAGCAGCCCTCACTTATCAATAGCCCCCCCCCCCCCTCTCACACTGCAAACAGACCTGCTGCTGTTTTTCCCCCCGTGGATCCTCCTGAGCCAGGAGCTCTTGATTATACTTTAAGCGAGTAAACAAACCTCACTTTTATTTCATAGAGCCAGTGATGCAGCTGTAAATAAAACAGGGGCTAAACAACATTTGTAAGTGGGTCTAACCATTCAAACAACTATAATGTACACATTTATTTTTTGTTAGTTTTTACGGAGATATATTTGCATACATTATCCAGGTTAATATTTACAGTAAGTGTGAATATACAAGTCAAAATCAGGCTGTTTAGTTGAATAGTGTGTTTTCTGATATTGTAGAACATAGACATAGACATAGTTTATTGTCATTTCAACAAGACACAGGGTGTACTATTAAAACGAAATTTCGTTGTACTGGCTTACAGGAACAGGACAATATAAAAATTAAGCAAAAATAATCAATGTCATTTCTCATTAATCATTAAATAAAAGTATCTATTAGTAGCAGCTTCAGATAGAAAGACATGCAGAGGAAGAGGGTACTTCTGACTGTCATGATTTTCTGTTTCCTGTTTGATTTTGAAATGTCTTGTTTTACTTCCTGTGTTTTCCTGCCTGATTGTGTTCACCTGCTGCCCCTGTTTCCCCCTCTCCAGCTGAGTCTTTTGTTCTTTGTCAGTACGTAGATGTTCCTGTGGGTTCTCCCTGTGTTCCTGATCCGCATCATCTTTGTACTGCTTTTAGGCCCAACACCCTGTCAAATCCTGACAGTAACACAAGACAACAAGACTATGCAAAAGTGCCCGAAAATATATATATTAATAGGCTTCTTTATTATGAAGTCTGTTTAGGAGCGGCAGTACACTCCCTTATCCGTTACATATTATGAAATGTTCTTGGAAATTCATTACACAATCTTTATCCGTGCAACAACAGCATTGAGATCTTTTCTCCTGTTTACATCCTGTTTCAGGTCGAGTCATCCATCCTGCTGCAAGGCAAACTAGCCCTTGGGCAAATAATATTTGCATACGCTTTTAATGGCTTGTTTTGTCTAATAGGCTGCCACATGGGTGGAGGCTGCCTCTAAAGCCAGGAAAATGTGTTTTCCAAACCACAGCTGAGCACATTGTGTTAATCAATTGTCAGGATGTTGTAAATCTAAACTGACTTGAGGTGAAAAAAACTGACCAGAAAACCATCACGGAGTTTAAAGAGACATTTGATATATGGGAGCTGCTTGTAGACGGCGGTTAACATGAGTGTTGAGAGATAAACGGCAGACAGGACAGGTTTGCGCTCAAGCATCAAGTTTGTGTGCCTTTTTAAACGACCCAGGGTTCAGCGGGGCTACGTGTTAGATGTGCAAACATAGCCCAAGGCCGTGTACAGGAGCTCTGGTTAACTAATTCAAGACCACTCCTCGGCCTCTCCACTCCATCCTAACAAAGGACAAATGCCCCCCATACCAGCCCTCCATTCACTCATTAACTTCACCTGCCTGCAGTGAATGTGTTCAGGCCTGGATGGAATTTATCAGCGTCTGTATGTCACTTTAACAACATTGTAGGGACATATTGAAACTTTTATATATTTTGTTTTTACACAGATACACACATTTATATTCTACTACAGCTGGTATGATTAGAGAACAGAAACTGATTGGCTAACATTTGCTTGCACCAGCTTTAGACATGTTTTACAGAGATTAGTTAACAGGCCCAAAATGATGTCTTTAAATATTTAGTTTTGTCTGTCCAAACCACAAAGATGTTCAGTTTAAGACGATATAAAACAGAGAAAATGATACTGCAAAAGCATATTAGAGAGGCTATGTAAAATATGTTATTTATGATTTTTCTGTTGATGAACAGTTAGTCTTCTAATCATTTCAGCTATGATTTAATATATATTACGGCTACTGAAATATATTTTGGCTTTTGAAATGTTCGTATAATAAGATGTTTTGATAAAGAAATGAATCAATAATGCAAAAATATCCTAAGTTAGATATAAAAACAAACACATGATGGGCCTTTTACAGCCTGAGCACTATCTGAAGGCCAACACAATATTTTGAAATATATAGTATTTGTCTACCATAATTGTTTTACAAATAGGGACAATAAAGATTCAAATGTATAAAAGGATAAATTATCAATTACAAATATGAAAACACGACTTATTTGCTTTCTTTTAGTTACACTCATGCCTACTGACAGTTCATAAACTTATTGATAACTTATATGAATGTATGTTTTAATTTATAGCGTGTGCTAACAGCCATATGCCATTAAGTGCAACAGGTGTGCACTCACATCTCCGAAGTGTGTCAAAAACTACATTTTGCGTAGGCTATCTAAAAACAAAAGCTTAAAAGGGGTCTTATCATACTTTTTAATCTTTATTTACCATTTAATACAGACTTATAACAACCTTATTATCTATAGCAAGGTGACGTTATTGTATTTCTTTGTTTTTCAAAGCGACTCGGCATATGGCTGACATCACCACTCAGGGCTCACCTGTCGCTGTGAGGAACCGTCGAAGCTGAGCTCACCACGGTTTAACAACGCTTCAACAACACTTTTCACACTCTTTAAAGTTAATTCAGAACATTATTTTTGATGGGAGAAAGCCTTAAAGGATAGAAAATGTTTCGACTTACCTGTTGCGCTAAGCGAAGGAGTGGCACTTTGCTCTAGGTATCAAAAAAGCACGGATAACTTCAGTTGTCATCTAAGTCTTCTCGTTCGGTCTTAGTATAAATCAATACACGTGTAAAAGTAAAGCTCCAATAAATGTCTTCTGGCTGGATACGACTTCTTTCCCTGTGTTTGTGTTGTTTTGGAGAAGAGTTTCCCCCCCTCGGTGATTCCACAGTCCCATGTCTCCTGTCTAAACACCGTCTGATGGTTAGTTAGCCTGGGAAACTAGTCACTAGTGGACCACTGTCAAAGTAAACAAGGTGAACTACAACTGTTTCCGGTCACAACTTTCAAAAGAAAACTCCTGTACCCTGAGAAACTTTTATTATTTACTGTATCTATCAAATATATAGTTTACTGAACTATCTGCTTGGTCTTTTAACACTGTAGTATTACTATTTACTTCGGTCCAGAGTACACCTTATTCCTACGTTGTTGTTTTTTTGTAATTCAAATTCTTATTGAATTTTCCATTCAGAACAAAGCAACATTGGCACTACACTGCATTAACACATCCCTCTCCCCCGTGGTCCAGGCATTGACATTAAAAGACATGGCATGGAAAACGTAAAATAATAATAATCACAAAATAGAAAATTAGGTATATCAGCCTTATTCCTAAATGTTAAATAAATGCTTTAAAAAAGGTAAAGAGGTGAACACAATCTCAAACACAAGTAAAATAAACAAGTTTAAAAATATATTTCCACAATAATAACCATAACCTAAGAGGGGTTGCTTCACTTTAAGAGATGACAATGAAATCGGAACCATATTATAACTTATCAATGGCTTTGTGACAATTGTCATTTCTTAAAATGCATCACACTGCATTTATTTAAAGTTATATTGTTGACAGTATGCCTAATATACATAGGCTACCATCTGACCCCATCATTGCCACTACACCATTAGTATACGTTATGAACCTTTAATATGCTTGACTTCCTGTTTTGATGTTGTAAAGTCTCCAGCTTGACTCAGTTTAACCTGACAGCCTCTTCACAGTTTGATCATATGATTTGGATGCGATTAGTGTGGAATAACCCCTTAACACTGGCTACCTACGAAACAAAACCTGGCCTCAACCCAGAAAAGGGAAAAAATTAAATTAAGTCTTTGAGTGTGAGCCTGAAGCATGTACTGAAAAAAATTACAACATAGTCATTGTGTTGTAATCAGAGTTGGGTGTAACGCGTTACAAAGTAACGCCTTAATGTAATAATATTACTTATGCCGGTAACGGAGCAGTGTAACGCGTTACTTTTATAATTCAGTAATCACATTCAGTTACTAACATTGCCCCGACATGCGTTACTTCGTTACTTTTATAAAATAATCACACTCACTGACAGACAAGAGGGGTTTCCGCCGCAGGTTTATATCGGTTTATATACATCTAGGCCTATGTAATCTGCGCGATTTGCGAGACCACATCTCCACGTGCAGTGCTGCATAAACATGGCTGAGTCTTTTAATCTGTAAACTCCCTCAACGGGGCCGCTCGCTCTCTTTTGTTGATCGCCCTCTCACGGGTGAACAGTTCAATGCCCCGCTTCATTGTAGGAATTCTGCCATGTCTCTACCACTTTAGTTTGACCATCTCTGTTACTAAGTTATGGAATACGAAATAAATAAGTAATTAGATACCTTACCGTTACTGCGCTCATAAAGAATGATAAGAATAATGCGTCTTGAACTGGTTTCATTAATTAGTGTCTTGACGTTTCACAGACTGTTAGCTTGTTGTGTGGCTGGTAGCCTATTTTAGAGCATATAAAAAGAAAGACTTGTGTTATGTCTTCCTTAATGCAATAGTAATTGGGGGTGCAAGTGGAGTCTCGCAGAGGCAAAACTGTGGCGCGCTTACACTGTAGGTGCGCCGCAGTCTGCGTGATCTGCCTGTAGGGGCGGGCCGGCCCTGCGAGTAAAGTAACGAGTAAAGTAACGAGTTACTTTATCTAGAGAGTAACGAAGTAGTGTAATATATTACTTTTTTTTAAAGTAATATGTAATATGTAATATATTACTTTTTTTTAGTAACGACCCCATCTCTGGTTGTAATATATATTTGTACGTTTAACCTGTTTTAATGAATTACCCATGAAAAGGTGTCCTTGAACCATGTGTTTTTGTGTGCGTGTAGTTTTGTGTAGTTTTGCTGATTTATATGCCTTCATAAACACATTTCTTTCCTGGGGATGAGACAATGGAAAAACCGGTTTGACTGTTTACAGATACACAGACCAAGTTTTATTTGGTGCTGCCTCATGAAGATGTTTCAAATGATAACACGAATGCAGGAGTAATTAGGTTAAAGGCCTTGTCTTTCTCCGGTGTTCTGCTTTTTAGTGCACATTTATCTAAACAACTTGTGACTGTAATGTGCTCAAAAGTAAGCCAGTGTTTTTGTGTCAACTTGTTTTTCTGTATAACACTTTTTGATTACTACCAAATCTGAGATTGAAGGTATACAGTTTCAGGCACATGGGGAATAAAATACTCTGAATATCATTGAAACACATTGGAGAGGTTTTTCCTGCTCTGGGTGCAGATAACAGGATGGCGGCTAACATTCTGGAACGTATGCAAAACATGACAACAATGTGACACATCAAATGCAAAATAGAGCCCTTCTAGACATTTTCAAAGATAGGGCCAGTGGTGGCACATAAATGCTGTTCTCACTTCACTGCTTTCTCACTTTTTTAAATGTTCTCTCCAGTGAAAATATTGAACATCGAAAGAAGAGAGTGGCCAAAAGTTATAATAATAAAACATTTAATATTGTTTTATTTTTGAGGAAATACAACTGTTTTGGTTTGTTGTAAAGAGGTGGATAAGAAGATATCACTCTCACATCTTTCTGTTGAATATGAACAACCGGAAGACTGTTAGCTTAGCATGCTAAACACATAACCTCCCGTGAAATGACGACTGTAAAGCTTTTACACTTTACATATTAAACAAAGTAATATGAGTGAGCTTCCAAAGTAAATCCTTAGTTCAGAGGCTATCAGGGCAAGGCTAGTTGTTTCCCCCTACTTCCTGTTTTTATGCTAAGCTAATTGTCTCCTACTGTAGCTGCAGCCTTGCTCTACCATGCAGCCATGACAGTGGTATACATTCAAGTTGAACTCTAAGTAAGAGAGTGAAGAACGTATTGACCATGTCCATTGAATTGAATATAGGGACATTTTGCGTATATTTTAAGAACTTTGATAAGAGTTGTCGTCTATGTTAGCTTGTGATTATGACTGAATCTCCAAATGACCTCAGACTAAATCTTAATGTTTGTCACCTTTTGTTATTTAAATGATTCTTCATACCAACAACATGTCATTTTGATTCATTGTAAAATATTGTGTTAAACATCCTCATTGTGCTTTGAAAGTGAATTGTCAGTTGGGAAAACAAATTATTGGACTTTGGTATGTACTGAGTGAGTCATTCCTGGACAGGTGCCATTGTCTAAAATCAAAAGAGAAAGACAATCACCTCACTGTAATGATTAATTCACGATCATTAACTGCGATTGTTTGTACCCATTACCATGTTTAATTGCCTTAACTTTCCTGAACTAAAATGAAGGCGTGTGACACAATGGTCTAGTCATTGGTGTTCGGATCAGGGGAGCACATGGTTCAAACCCTATGGTTCAAACCATAGTCATGCAGTCAGCATGTCGTTGTGTCCCTGGGCAACACACTTCACCCCAAATTGCTTCTGTGGGGATTGGCCACAGTATTGAGTATGTAAGATAAAATAAGATAAAATGAACCTTTATTAATCCCCGAGGGGAAATTCAGTTGTACAAAGTAGCAACAGGGTAAGCGTGAAAAAACAGGACAGCACAGATTAATAAAATCAAAAATAAATAAAATCAATAAAAAAATTTAAAATGATAATAATAATAAAAGACTATGAAATAGGAGATGAGTAAAAATAAGAGTAAAATAACTGTCAGCATATGTACATATTTGGTCATCTAAGTTATAAAGTACGGAATAAGTTAAAGTGACAAGTGAAAAGTGAAAATGGACATCTGTACACATAGTGACATATCTATCTACCTTTTTGGTCTACTACTAATAATATGTTGTTGTGGAAACAGTGTATATTTATGTCCAGTGATTTAATTGTATTTCTTTTTCAACATTAACCCCTTATTGTGCAGCCTGATGGCTACAGGCACAAAGGACTGTCTGAGGCGCTTGGTGCGTTGTCGTGGAGGGATGAGTCTGTGGCTGAACGTACTCCTCATCTTCACTAGCTCTGCGTGGAGTGGGTGGGAGGGGTTCTCTAGGATGCTGTCGAGCTTCCTCCTCGTCCTCCCCTCTGCCACCTCCTCCAGATTGTCCTGTTGTACTCCAACTACAGAGCTAGCCTTCCTCACGAGCTTGTTCAGCCTGCCAGTGTCCCTAGTGTTTGTGTTTCCACCCCAGCACACCACGGCAAAGAAGAGCACACTGGCCACCACTGGTAGAACATCTGCAGCAGCCTCGTGCACACATTGAATGACCTGAGCCTCCTCAGGAAGAACAGCTTACTCTGTCCCTTCCTGAAGAGAGCATCGGTGTTATCTGTCCAGTCCAGTTTATTGTTTAAGTGCACTCCCAGGATCGTGTAGCTGTTCACCACCTCCACATCCTTCCCCCTGATGGTGATGGGGGTCAGAGGCCTCTTCCTGCTCCGCCTGAAGTCCACCACCAGCTCCTTAGTCTGGCTGATGTTGAGCTGGAGGTGATTGTTGTCACACCAGCCTACGAAGTTCTCAACCAGGGCCCTGTACTCCTCCTCATTGTCATCTGTGATGCAGCTGACAATGGAGGAGTCGTCAGAGAACTTCTGTAGGTGGCATGAGCCAGAGTTGAAGCGGAAGTCGGAGGTGTAGAGGGTGAACAGGAATGGTGACAGCACAGTTCCTTGTGGGGCTCCGGTGTTGCTCTGCAGCATCAGACACGCTGCCCTGCAGTCTAACATACTGAGGTCTGCTGGTGAGGTAGTCTGTGATCCAGCACCGGGACAATGCAAGACGTCTTCCAGATGTCCGGCACCTTCATCAGCTTCAAGGAGAGACTGAATAGGTGCTGAAAAACTCCTGCTAATTGACCGGCACACACCTTGAGCACTCGGGGGTTGGTGTTGTCTGGCTCCCTTGCCTTCCTCACGTTGATCTTCGAGAGCTGATTCTTAACTTGTCCG